TAAAAAAAAAAAAACCTACTTTGAAATAGAATTGGGGGGTGCAGGTTTGCAATGTTACATGCACTTTCATAAGGACACTATTGTTTGTTACTGTTCAGTCATTTTTCAGTTGTGTTTGACTCTTCAAGACCCCATTTTGGGGTTTTCTTGGCAGAGAGATACTGGAGTGGTTTGTCATTTCCTTCTCCAGACCATTTTACAGATGAAGAAATTGAGGCAAACTGGATTAAGTGGTTTGTCCAGGGTCACACAACTAGTAAGTATCTAGGCCAGATTTGAACTCAGGAAAATGAGTTTTTTTGAGTCCAGGCCAGGCTCTCAATCTACTGTGCCACCTAGCTGCCCCCACTTTATTATTAGTTTTGCTCAATTATTTTACTTTGTTATAGGAGCTCTCACAGTGATCCAGAAGGATTTGTAATGATAAACAAAACAAGTCAATAAAACTGTTTTTTTAAAAGTTCTTTGTTGAATTCTATCAAAGGGGGCAAAGGCAATAATTGAATCTCTCAACATGCCTACTCTAAGTAGCACTCTGTGTGTCCAGCCATATGCAGGGATATACTTTGGGGGTGATTCCCTGTATTCAGGGCATCAGTCTGCTTGGGAAGATGGGACTCTATGGGACAGTAGGAGTCAGGGGGATGTGATTTCAAGTTCAGGCCCTTGTACTTACTACTTTAGTGATTTTAGGACCATCACTTAACCTTTGTGGGCCCCAATTTCTTCCTCAGCAAAATGATGGTTTTTAACTCAATGAACTCCATCGTCCCAGCTTCCAATCCATGACGCTGACCTTCACTGTAGTCTCTCCTCAGCAACAGTAGTCAGAAGCCCATCTCTTCTGTCCTCAAAGATGCTAAGACCTGAACCTTAAAAGACTTTGCAGTGCTCCTGAATCCAAAAAGCCCACTACTAGACATGTCCCTGACCACCATAAGAAATTCAAGAAAAAATTACTCAAGGGCAGTTGAATGTTCTCCTTAGCCAAGGAGGAATTGAAGCTTTGACTTCACTTGTGATAAACAGTAACTTCCTACCACCACCCAAAATTCATAGGGAAAAGGCTCAGTTCTTACTCTTTACAAACACTATGGTCCCACCTTCCGCTCTGTAAGAGGCCTATGGAAGTTCCCCTTGAAAAGGCCAGTTTTGGCTCCTGAGCTGCCTCTAAATCCAGCTTGAGTGCAGGTGACCATGCCAGAGTACTCATCAACAATCTCAGAAACACAAGCCACCATTCCCTAGATCTGCTCAGAATAATAATAGCTGACATTTATAGAGAGCTTTAAAATTTTAAAAGTGCTTTATAGACATTACTCTTTTGATACACACAAACTGCGAGGTTAAGTACTGAAATTATTATTATCCCCATTTTACTACTGAGGCATGGAAAAGTGAGGTGACTTACCCATGGTCACATAACTGCAAGTATGTTTGGCAGAATCTGAACCCATCTACTGTGACTTCAAGTTCTATCTATGCTCTGTCCACTATATAAGAGGGGTCAAACATTCAGCCTAGGGGGCAGCTAGGTGGCGCAGTAGATAGAGCACCGGCCTTGAAGTCAGGATGGACCTGAGTTCAAATCCAGCCTCAGACCAAACATTTGACACTTACTAGCTGTGTGACCCTGGGCAAGTCATTTAACTCCAATTGCCTAAAAAAAAATAAACAAACAAACAAAAACAAACATTCAGCCTATAGCATTCCTGAATGCAGCACCAACCAGATTACAATGTCAATTGGGAAAAATTTAACAAAACAAATAAAAAATACAATAGAATATATATGATTTTCTAAGTCAATGTGTGGCTGCAGGGATGGTGATATAGAACTTAGCACCCCTTTATCTTTGAATTTTACATTAACTATTCGACACGTCTTTCTCTCATGGAGCTCCTTCTCTATACCCTATAACGGAAGCTTTATTACTTTGTCAGGCATGGTGCCTTCATTTTTACAAATTAGGATACTGGGACCCAGAGAGGCTTAAGTCATTTACCTAATCTAAGTGATAGCTAATTAATGACAATCATTTTTTAATCGTGTCTGACTTTTCATAACCCCATTTGGGGTTTTATTGGCAAAGATATTGGAGTGGTTTGCCATTTCCTTCTCCAGCTCATTTGACAGATGAGGAAACTGAGGCAAATAGGGTAAAGTGACTTGCCCAGGGTCCCACAGCTAGTATCTGAGGCCAGATTTAAACTTAGGGAGATGACTCTAGACCTGGCACTCTATCCGCTGTGCCACCCACCTAGCTGCCCCAATTAGTGGCAAAGTTGACACTCAAATCTAGGTGCTCTTCCTCCAAAGTCAGTGCTATTTGTACTATCCTATGCTGTCTCACCAAAGCTTCAAGTCAGGGAGTGGTGCTCAGAATGGTGTGACCCAGACTTGGATCATCTACCCAAATGAGATTTCCTTTCTTTCTGTTCTCTGTTTGATATATTTCCTTCTCCCTTTCCTTGCTGAGGCAATAGTCTTTCCCTCTTTCCTTCTGATGGCTAGTGTTGTACCCTTGTGTTCACTCCTGGAAACACACCTGTCTCTCATCCACCAGGTAGGCTAGGCTACAGCCTAAGATAGGGATAGGGATTAGACTTGTGATTTAACTGGTAGAGGAAACTCCTACTCCCAATGCAGGTCAGCACCCGCCCTGGAAACTGAGTTGCCTAAAGCATGGTAAGTGAATTGCCCAAGGTCCATGTGAGGAAAGGGCAGGACTTATCGCACACTGCCAAAGCCTAAAAGCCCAGAAAATCTGTGCTGGTGATGTCACCCTTTGTGACTAGCTGGTATCATTGGTGCTCAGGCCCTGGAGGGCCTAAAAAAAGGTTTCCAGCCTCAATATGCTACATTTGTTAGACTTCTCACAAGTGGCTCTGGTTGTCTTAATGAAGGGACACATTGACTGCCCTAGGCCTCTCTATTCCCAGACATAAAGGTACTGTTAATGAATTTAAGTTTCAGAAATCCCTATCTGTAAATTTCATAATCTTTGGGACTGAGTAATATAGTTAGTATATGTGGAATTACAATCCCCAAACATGATACATACATACACCCTTAAAATTTAGGATCATTTTCAGAAAATATTACTCACTGAAATTGAAATGAATAAGAATACACATTAAATGGAAGACATATAATAGAAGCCCACCCCCAAGAGATGGTGTTCAAGTGGGTTCTTGATGGAATTTAGAGTTTCCTAAATCTAGTCAAGGAAACTAGGTTGTCCCCTAATTTTTTTAAATTTTAATTTTCTGTTATTTTTATTCTGGACTTGACAAATGCCAATTAAAATGAATATTATAAAATGAATTGTAGAAAGGAAAAGATTATACATGAAACTAAATCTCCATTAGGTACAACAAACTATCCAGTTTTTTTTCCCAAAAGAAACTTGATAACAAATATTAAGATCCAATCCCAATATTTGGGAAGCAGCCGGGAAAATATACAGAATGTGAGAATAGGAAGGGACCTCTGAGATCATCAGTCCATTCCCTATATTTTACAGATATGGAAAGTGAGGTCCATAGAAGGGAAGTGACCTGACAAGGCCAGAAAAAAATAGCAATTGGCACAGCAGGGATTCAAACACAGATTTTCAAACTCTTAATCCTGTGTTCTTTCCACTATAGCACACTGTCTCTACTAAATACTGCTCAAATTAATACCATAGCATTACCAAGGTGCTGGTTTACATCAGCTCTGGCAATTGTGAGGATTTATCTAGTGCTTTCTAAGGGGGAGCATCCTTGTTGTTCAGCCTAGTAAAGGCATGCGCCAGGCCGTGGGTCATACATGCCCTGCTGGGCAAGTATATTCCTATAACAGAGATGGGTGGTTCAGACAATCACAGCACATTGAGAGTGACTAAGATTGTTCAATCCCCTTTACTCACTTACTAAACTCACCAAACATTTTTTTTTAATTCTATTTTTCAAATATGGTTTTCCAAGTAGATTTTCCTAGTGGGAAGAGACTATGCTGACCAGCTGATTGAAGTAACTGATCCTCTCAACAATTACATTTCTCACCGTCAGTTAATGAATTGGCATTCTGGTTGATCAGTCAGTTTGTCAGCTTGGTTTATGTAAATTAATTCCCCTAAGCCTGATATCCTCTAGGTGGACTCATAAAATAGAGTTTCTGAACCTTAAAAATTGAGGGCCAGATTTTCAGTCTAAGATGGACCCACCAACATATAACCAGAAGGCTGAAGGTGAGAGAAAGACATTTACTTCTTCCTAAACTGTCTTTCAATTTTTAACAAACTACCTGTTAGAAAATCTTATATGCAAAAATATTTCAAGACTTTTTTTTCTTGTTTTCAGTTGATTCTGGTACTAAATTTAGCTTTGTAACCCTGAAGAAAAGGTCACGTTCTATTAACAAAGTACTGTAGGATTTTCATACCATCAATGACTTGGAATTGGAAGGGACCTTAAAGGCCATCTACTCCAATCCCCTAATTTTATAGATGAAGAAATTGAGATTTAGAGACTTACTCAAACTCATCTAAGTCTTCTGACTCTAGTGCCAATGCTTTTGCACTGTCCTCAGATCCTAGCTAGTATTAACTGATTGACCTAGAAATGTTGTCATTAGGAACCTGGATTTTGGCTAGTTTTGCTAAAAATTAATATTAATCAAACCTCAAAGCATAGCAATCCCCCAAATTATTAGAAACAAATTATTCTCTGCAAATGTGTCATCACTGATATTATTATAAAAAATTAGCACAAGTTTTGCCCTAATTTTTTGTATATAAAACTCTTAATGAAATGAGTAGAACTGTGAGCAAAGCTAGGGGAATTTTGCCCCTCACACAATAGATCAAATTAATTACTTTGTTTTAAGTAAGTAACTTAATTACTTGTCTGCTTTCTAAACAATCTGGGCTGGAGACATCTACCATAGTGAAGGAAGTTACCTTTTTCACTATTGGATTACATTAATTTGTACTACAAAATGTCTGTTTTACTCACACTTTAGAAGGCTGTCTACCACATATTTCAGAATCTTCAATAGGTGTAGTTAACACACGATGATTTATGGTACTTAGATAATTCTCAACATGTATCTGTTATGAAAAAGCCAAAGTTTTGACTATTATAGTGGACTTTGAGACACTCTACTCAGTTAATTTACTTTGATTAGGTTAACACTCTGAATCTTGTAATTAAGCCAGAAGACAGGACATGTAATGTTTTTCACTGTGTTTATTCCATGCCTAAGGTAATATTAGATGACTCAAGGCCAAATTACTTTAACTACCCTCAAAAGGGCAATAATCAACTAAGAGCCAAGCTTGGTAGTATCTTACTATGCTTCAGAAATGGAATGTCTACAAAAATAACTGAATTAACCGGTTCTCTGAATTTACTAGGCAACACAGACATGAAGAAGTTCCTTTCCCTTAGAGTGACTCCAATATAAGCTTTGTGCAAGCATCTGAGGAAAAATTTGGCCCTTGGGTAAGATGTCCTTGATGGCCAATCCAATGTCTCTAGCTGTGTCCAGAGTCCTAACACTGTAAGGTTAATTTAGTACAATGTATGCATTAGGCTACTTGGGCTAAAGTATACCCCACATTTCTCACAGTTAGCAAGGACTCAGGAGGCAGTGTGATCATGTGGATAAAATGGCGTAGGAAAAGTATGGAGAAAGGTCAGGGTGATGGAAAATAAGAGTTCTGGCAGAAAGATGGATATACAGGGGCCTCCTTTGAAAGAAGGCTTCCTTCGGTCCTGGTGTCCTTCCCTCATCAGGACAGTGTCCCTACTTCCTAGTTTTTCCAGGACAAACCTGATTTTAAGAAAAGAAAATGAACTTTTAATGAGGCTTCACAAAATGAATTTCCTTTGTCAGGCTATATGTTCCAATTTTTTGTTTGGAAAATATAATCATTATACTCATAGTGGCCATGTGAAAACTGGATTCTATTCTGCCCTTAACTTTATGGGTAATGCAGGGGGAAGCTTTACTATCTGCCTCGGTTTTCTGTTTTAAATTGGTGAAATGATTACTTCCTACCTACTTAATAATAATATTATTGTTACAAAAATGAATGAATTGTCAGCAGACTACTCGAGTTTTTGGAAATAAAATAAGTATATAAGTAGCATTGTTGTTATTGTTTCATTTCTATATCTTAGCTGAATATATTGGAAACTCATCACAGTGTATTGTATAAGCTCTATTGGCCGGGCATCTTACAATAATTAATTACTGGGATGGAACTTTTGGTGATGTGGCAGGGATCTAGAGCAGTGGTTCCCAACATTTTTGGAGTTGCTACTACGTACTGTGTTTGGATGACTTCATGCTAATTGCCTCAATGGAATGTGGCATATATAGGGTCAGAAATCTAACCTAAGATTTCAATGACATAAAGAATTCCCAAAAGAGGAAATTTCTTCTACTTATAAGGGTCAGCACTTTTTCTGAAATTTATACTATTACACAGGGGTTCGTGAGCTTATTTTTGTAAAAAGTATTTTGATAACTGTTCTCCAATATAATTTGTTTTCTTTATAATCCTACATATATATTTTTTGCATTTAAAAACATTATTATGAAAAGGGGTCCATAGGATTCACCAGTTTACCAAAAGGGTCCATGACATTAAAAAGGTTAAGAATTCCTTTTAGAGAGTTGCCTAGAGCAATGGTGTCAAACTCAAATAGAAATGTTGCTGTTGTTCAGTCATGTCTAATTTTTTGTGATCCCATTTGTGGTTTTCTTAGCAAACCATAGGAGTGACTTTCCATTTCCTTCTCCAGTTCACTTTACAGATGAGGAAACTGGGGCAAACAAGGTTAAGTGACTTGCCCAGGGTCACACAGCTAGTAAGTGTCTGAGATAGGATTTGAACTTAGGAATATCCTGATTCCAAGCCCAGTACTCTAATCACTGCATCACCTAGCTGTCCCAAAAGAAATGGGGGCACTAAACTGTACATAAGGATCTCTGCTGGCACATATTGACTTAGAAAACTACATATTAATATTATCTGTGTTTTATTGTATTTTCATTTATTTTGTTAAATATTTCCCAATTACATTTTCATCTGATTTGGCTTCAGTGCAGCTGCTGCTGGCCACATATTGACGCCTCTGCCCTAAAGCATGGACATGCTTAAGTGATTTGCCTAGAAATGTTATGTGTCAAAGGCATCACTTGAAACCCTATCTCTATCTATTACTCCTCATTGCCTCTTATAGCATATATGTATAATATTATATTATAGGATATATATGATACGCAATATATCATGTTATATATCATATAGAATAATTATGTATAATTACACATTAGGTATAGTATATATTATATACAAAATATCATATATACTACATAGAAATATATACACATATATGTATGTATAGATGTATAAATTCATTTTTTCCAACTTTTTATACAATTTTATTACTTCTGCCTGAGATAAATGGTGAATTTCACAAATGAGGTTTTGCCAGATGCAGTGTAAGGAATGACTCTCTGACCAGTAGATGGAGCTATGGTGGCATCTGTCCGCATTGCTTGCATTGAGTGACAGGTACTCTAAGAGTAAGAGTCAGTGTCCTGTGGATGGCACAGGAAGGGTTTCCTAGTCTGATCAAGATTGGGTAGTATGTGGTAGAACAAGGAGGGAGGTTGATATGAAGAAATTTAAGCCAAGACAGGTGACATAGGAAAAGGAATGGATAGGCAGAGATGGATTAGACAGGTGGGGCTGTGTTTCACACCAGAAGTTCAAGCCATTTCACCCACCAAAGTTGTTGGCCCTGAAGATCAGTCAGAAGAACCTATGTTGCTTAAGGGTGGGAGCAGCCTATAATGAATCTACCTGCATAGGAACTGTATATTATGGAAGGGAATTTGTTTATACTATAGTCAGTCATAGCATGGTATTGTTAATTTTGTTTGGGTCCATCTAAACGCCCTCTGGGGGGATGATGTGCTATGGCACATATGGCACATATGGAACTCAGCTTTCTGCAAGTTTGAAAAAGTCCTTCTCCAGTTTCGCATAGAATTGCTGGTGCCAGAAGTAGGCCAAGACTTTTCAAATGTGCAATGTTCTGGTCAAGGACATATGAATAGAATACTATGTTTTTCAATTACACAATGGTTCTCTAGTCTTGCAGGTCCCAGAAAATTATAGTTTCATAAATTAAGAGAATTGGAAGGATTTTAGATGTCCTGTGTAATTCTCCTCATTTTACAGATTAAGGAATCTAAGGTTCAAAGTGGTTAGCAACTGGTTTGCCCAAGGCCAAAAGGTTGAGATTTGAACACAGTCCCAATCCAGTCCTCTTTCCACTATATCGTAATATATGATATATATTTCATGTATGAATTCTGGAGCACAATGTGCATATCACAAAGACCTAAGGGAAGGACCATAATGCTCATACTTCAGTCATATGGCAATCTTCTACTTATTGTCATTCCCTATATGGACCACATTATGTGATCCCCAGAGATCCAAACTGACGAAGCTGGCCCAACAAATTAAGTGCCAACAAAAGGAAATACTAGATGTGAGTAGTGATGGCGTTAAGTCCTTGAAAATTATTATAAAGCCTGAGCCTCCCACTTTTTCTTCTTTATTAGGCCTCATCTTCCTCATCTACAGAATGAGGGGCATAGGCTAGGTGGCCTCTGGAGTTCCTTCTAGCTATAGTTTTATTATCCTGTGCTTCTTTATTAATAGCATGAATTTCCAGTGGGAAGAGAAGAATGTCTGAATAAACTCCTACCTAAGGTTGATATTGAGAAATTCTCAGAGTACCTGGGTCTTGTCTTTGGGCCTTAGCTCACTGGCACAGTTGTGAAAGTATATAAAGAGAGTAGGGTACCTTCTCTCTGGAAGGCCTGAATATGTCCTGTAAGTCGTGGTATCTGATAGTCAAGGCTATGACAGATTCCCTATGGGCAAGTGATGGCAGCAGTTCAAGTGGGCTGAAGGCAGGAGAATTCAGACTCGAAGATCATCTTCTAGGAATAATGAATCCATTTCAATGTACTTTGCTTTTTTAAAAAAAAAAAAGACTCACCATACCAATAGGAGCAGTCACTTTTCATATTTGAGTTTGGAATCTTGTGAGTGATATGGCCAGTCTTAAGGGTTGAAGTCTTTAGCCTCAACAATAATGGAGCCAACTTTGGCCCTAACAGGAACATGCATGTACTAGATGAGGGCTAGATCTGGTGCAGGGCTTGTTTGTTAGCCAGGGCATGAGGACGAGAGCAGTTCCTTCCTTAGGGTCTGTCCAGGCCACAATGTGGAAGAAATTTTGTGCCAAGAAAACATTCTCTATCTGAAGAAGGGGCTGTTGTACTACTCCTAGTTATTCTGGCTGCAAAGAAGGCATGAAGAAGTCCCTAGGGCTAGCCAATGGGACATGAGAGAAGAGAATTTCAAGGATTGGTGCCCAGGCTAGGAGTTCAGTTGACCCTTGATGTGTAGTCCCTAGAACACAGTTGCTTCTATTTTGGGTATACATGGCCCTGACAGGTTCATTGGGGTTTTTCTAGATCTATACTAGTAGGTACACTCATTACAGGCTAGGTGCTAAGCATATCACTTGAATGAACTCGTATAATATAGGATTAGTCTCTGAATAAATGAGCACTTATTAAGCACTGACTATGTGTCAAACATTGTGCTGAGCTATGGAGATACAAAATGAGACACTCCTTGCTCTCAAAGAGCTCACACTCTAATTGGAAAAGAAAAAACATAAAAGGAAGTTCATGGGCAGGGTGGATGGAGAGACCCAGAAGCCCTAAGATTTCAACAATGGGGCAGGTGCAAAGCCCAGAAGTCCTTCGACTACCTGAGTAGGTCAGACCACCATGCTAAAAGGTCTATAAGTCTTTGGTGGTCCTCCTTTGGTGGTCCTTCATCTCTCCAGAATGAAAAGAGTTGGTGACTCCAATCTCAATCAAGCTGTGTGAGCAGTCAAGCATCCTTGGATGGATTCTAGGATGGCCCAGGACTGGAGTAGGGGTGAAACAGATAATGGGAGCAGGGTGCCCCTGATGATGCCTGGTTTCTGCTGTACTATTTAT